CGATTTCCTAAAATTAACTTCGTTTACCCTCTAACGTGAAAAGCGTAGTAGGGCACCGGAGTAAGGACGCCATTACCGTAGACTCTCGTTATGCGTCTGCACGCAGAAAAATGGATTATTTTCGTAAACTTTAAATGGATTATTTAAATAAACATTATTTGAATTGAATAAATTGTTTATTTGATTCTGATAGAGAATTAATTTGATTCTAATAGAGGATTCATTTGATTCAAATAAAGTTATTTTAATTCAAATAAACCATTTTTTTGGGTATGGGGCTGTAGGGGAAGCCGATTCGGCGAAAGCTGCTATATTTCCTTAGACCCATCATGCCCCCAATTTTTCAAAAATTTACTGTCGGAACATTTTACATTTACGATTTCTTGGTGAGGCGAAACACTAGCACATTCAAAAAAACATCCATGTGCTTACATTCGGGAGTCGAAGATGGTAGGGAGTTGGCGAAAAAGCGATCAAGAGGAAACGCGATTATAACCGGAACGAACGTAGCAAGAGTCTACTGAATTTCGCTTTGACGGAATAATTAAAAATGTTATTAATATTTACAATTATTCCAAATTATTTTACGTAAGAAATGAATCTCAAAGAGAATCTCAAATGAAAAAATTGAAAAATAATGAAGGGTATTCATTGAAGGTCATATATATTATAATCATCTCATAATTCAACATAATTGTAATATTTGGAGATGGATATGGACCACCTGGGAATGACTGGCCAAGAGAAATACGCTTCTAAACAAAATAATTCCTTCTTTCAAGAAAATGATTCCTTGGCAAAAGTATTTTTTTTTCTCAGTGTGGAATAATAATCGAAGATTGAGGAGGTAAAATTTTAGTTTTAGGAGTTTTAGAGTTTTAGGAGTTAGGAGTTAGATTAAATTTTAGGAGTTAAAATTTAAGTATTTTTAAAATTCCATTTTAAAATACTTAAATTTCATACAATTTCAGTAATTTCTCCTCGCTGAGCGTTTGTATCTTCTCGATTATTGTTTCGTGCGAGAACTTTATACAATTTTGTTCACTGGAAATAACTATGTTGATTGGTAAAAAAGAATTATAACCTCGCAAAAATTTATTTGAAATTAATCAAAAATTGTAATCTTAGCAGTATTGAGCCCCATTACTATTTTTTCGTGTGATCTAACTTTCCGCTCACATTGTGCATTCAATTTCGTCAGAACTATCAGGGCTCATTTTTCCAACATATCAGTCGTGTTCTACATGTTTGTTAGTCAAAACTGGAAACTAGATCTAATTCTTTTGGACGACAGAATCAAGTCGATTTGTGGGGAATGGATGTAAACATCCTTAATAACGGTTTGAACAGAGGCCACTCGGTCTGGAATTTTGGTGCAACGTTGGGGGGATTTATTGGTAGAAAAGGTCCATAAAAAATAGTCACTTTGTAGAGGCGTGCCAAGTAGCTCCTTGGTTATATCCTATTCCCAGTACAGGGAATATGTCACCCGAATGGACTCCCGGTGGCACGCGAATAAACTCTCATAACATAGAGCTCAGTAACCTGTTGAACGTTTTCTCTGTTCGTGACAAGCAGTGATTGCATTTATGTGTTACCTATTTGGCCCGATTCTACCCACATGATTTTTTTCCTTCCTGGGATGGGTTTTCGGGTTGATAGTTCCTTGCCAATCACTCTGTGAAGGCATTCATCTTATTTCTTTCCCTCTACACTGTTAAAAATTTTTGTTTGAAATTTCCGGTACACTTTTTGGAAATTGTCATCAAATTTAATTACCACTGAAATTTCAAGGAATTTCGTCAGTGAAAATTCAGAATTTCGTAGAAAAATGAAAGAGAATTGTAAATTTCAGTTCCATTTTTTCCTGAAAATGAATAAAAAACCAGAAAATTCCGGTCAATATATTGTTGAATTTTCAGGACAGCGACTCTGAATGCGATTTAGGGGGAAACAATCATTTAATTTCCCTGAAAATAAATAGAAAACCAGAAAATTCCGGTCAATATTTTCTTGAATTTTAAGGACAGTGAGTCTGAATGCGATTTAGGGAGAAAAAATCGTGAAATTTAGATTTCACTGGAAATTCAATGTGATTTGGCTCTGAATATCCATATTAGATTGCAAATTCAAATAAATTAAAGAATTTTTGTCTTTATGCTGCTTCAAATTCTGGAATTTTACTGAATTTTCAGTCAAACCTTAAATTTCATAATTTTTTTACCCTATATTGCTTTCAGTGTCACTGTCCTGAAAATTAATAGTCAACTGTTCATGAAATTTCTGGGTTGGTTTCACGAATTTTTGAGAGTAGAATGTTCATTTGTTGTGTTTGTGTTGAGAAGGAAATTGACTGAAATTTGGGATGGAAAAAATGATATTTGTCATTTGGATTTGAGGTGAGGAAGACATGCATGATTGGTTAGGCACTTAATCTATTGTTCGATGTTAATAAACCGTGAAGAGGGGATGGTGATATCGGTAGGGGGTAGATGGATCGGGTAGTCACGGAATGGGGTCCTGCGGGGGAATAGCTAGTCGGTAGTTAACGAGGATGTTAAGTTGGTGGGAGTGGGAGCGGAAAGATCGTATTCAATGAGAATCATAGGGTTTTATTACAACATTCTCCCTTATGGAAAATTATTGTACGATGTATGCTCGTTTTTGAAGATTCAAAATTTCCACAACGATTTGAAAGCTCAAACTTGATCGCTATTTCATTTTCATTTCAATTTTTTCTTCCAAAGACATTTTTCCTACCTAGGAAAAATAAATGTCCATCAACGCACAAAATTGCTTCGCTTTCTTACTTCAACTGCATCTACCTCTTAGCCGACTCGGGATGAAGTTATTGGAATGGCTCGATAAAAAAGAAAAATTAATATCAATTATTGAAAAATGAAAGGTACTTTCACCTAAAAGAAAATATTCAATTGATAAAAATTTACTCGAGTGGGAGGAGACATCTAACTGCCGACTAGTCTAGATTTTTGTTTGCAATAATTAATTTCAACTCCCTTGAGAGAGGAAAAATGATTTTGCATATTCAATTGTTAACAGCTTTAGCCAATCAAATGATACGAGACTAAAGGATATAAAATGTTTATAAATCAGGTGGTGATCTACGCAATGGAAAATGTCGTTATGAAATATCAGAAAATAAAATCAATCATCAATGAGTAAAATCTACTAGGTAGACAAGAGAATTCTCCCTGAAAGAATTCGTTTCCCTCTTTCTCTCCCCAAATTCGTTACTAAGGTGAATTAGCGATTAATAAAATAAGTTATGTCTCATTAGGAAGAATTTCACCACTTCTTCACTGAATCGAATCAATGTCTTGGGTTCTTTAGCCCACTCCCACCATGTAATGATCAAGGATCTAAAATTTCATAAATGCCGATTTTCTGTTCAACTCCATTGAAACTTCAGCTCAACATTACTGTACCACAATGCAAATCTAACCCATTAGATGATCCCCTCCTCCCCACACATCCATTCTCCATATATATATGTAAGAAGATGAGCAGACGGGAGAATGCGCGGAGAGGAGTAACGAGTACAACCGAAAGGAACTCACTGAGGGTGAAAAGAGTGAGACAGAGACTGGCGCGTCCGAGGGGCGCAGGCTCCGATACAGCCAATCGTCGGACCGCGACTGATAACGACGCTGCCAAATGTGCGTCCGTCGTGTTGGGGCCGGTCCACGCGCTAACATCATCATCTCACCCTGGGGATTTTACCATCGAGGCCTCTCGCCATTACACGTCACATCCAACCAAACTACTTACCTTTAAGCGCCCTCGGAAATCACTCGACACAAGACTCCTCGAATCATGATTTTTCTACATATGAATAGAAATCCCCAGTGATTTTAATCGTGAGAAACCAAAATATCAAGTGAAGTGGAAAGAAGGGAGATAATCTAAGAGGATTAAATTCTCGTGACAATTTTGAAATAATAAGAAATCCCTTTTATTTTCATTTCTATTTTTATTTATTTTTTTTTTTAAAGTGTTCTCAATGAATCGAGAGTAAGAATGTTTTAGGGTGGATTATTCAGTGCTTCAAGGCAGTCTGGATCGTATAAAGTGAGAGGGTAAGTTAACATTTAGTAATGACTGAGACATTGACTCACATAGATTGAAAAAAAACACAGGAATGGCGCAAGGGATTGTGCGATGCGAATGGCTGAAACGATAGAAATAAATTTGCGATTAAATCGGAGAGAACTCCAAGCGACCAAAAAAGCGAAATTGATGCTAGCGTCAGTGAAATCGTCCTGACATCCGGTGTTTCATGTCCATAGGGTCTTCACAAAAAAGCAGACCTCCTGACCATTGATATTCCATTTGTCCCCAGCATTCGTATTTTATGGAGCGCGTAAGGGTCAAAGTCGACGGTCAGCCGGACGGAGGGATGGTTGGATATCGTTTCTCATGCATTAAACGATAACTATACATCTCCCTGGGTCAAGTACCGTTGCAGAAGTGCGTGGGTAATCCACCTCGAAAGAGGAAAAAAATCCTAACACTCGCGACGGCACTTTCACCTGGGCCCGAGTTACCCTCGTGTGTGCGCTAAAAATTCTGTATCACTGAGTGGCGTTGCGAATAAATACGAAAAAAAAACTGCCAATTAACATTTGAATGGGGCGAGAGAAGGAGGAGGGGAAATAAAACTTTTGGCTTTTCATGCCACTCACAATAATAACGCTTGCGTGCGTGTTGGTCTGCTGTGTAGACAGACTCATCGTTACTCTGTTTACATATGTGGGTGCGTGGATACCTCGTGTAGCCTCGTATACTATATACACATACACACGTGACACTCCTCCACGAGCATGAGCTTAGACGAGGTAGGCGAGTAGCAGAGGGGTTTCCGGCGAGCGTTACTGTTAACAGAGTAACAGAGTGATGTAATGAGGCCCGGAAGCAGACAATTTGCTGGCCGCGGCGGTCGCAGTTGCGCGAGACAACCTGCCTGACTCTACCTTCTTCTTCACAGTGGTTCAGTCAACAGTGCGGTATGCGTTTGTGGTTTGAGATGGATAAACGTTTGTGTGACATTATGTTAATCTGGGAATTGAGAAAGTAGAGAGAATTAGGGGATAGATTTCCTTGGGGTTTGACATTTTGCTGTCAGTGATGACTTTAAAGGTCCTGGCGACCCATTCGAGGAATATTCAGATCGTTAGTTGTTGATTAGTGTTTCATTAGCGTTTTGTGATCTTTTATTGTGGTCACTCTGTGGGTTATCGTGATGTGCATTGAGTGAAGGGTTCATTTTGCAGAATAAAGGTCTCACTTTAGGTTGCGTGGGATCATGCTGACTCTTTTGACGACCGACGGTGCGTGGAGTGAATAAATATGACGAATTCATTCTTCAGAATTTGAGGGTATAAGATGTGTATATTTTATGGCTTCTTTGTGATACTTGCAGGGGCACTTTGGTGATGTACGACAGCACTAGCTGTTCGTACTCGGGGGCGCTCGACTTGAAGGGAGCGACAGGAACGACTGGGGCAGCAACAGCCTCCGGTGTTTCCATCTCTACCGCGGGCGTTAAACAGGAGAACTGGCCCTATCGGGGTCTTGCGTGTGGTAGCACCTTTCAGCAGCTTAAACAGAGCGTTGAAAAAGCTAAACAGGCGCTTGCTGACCGGGGCAACTATCTGGCTGGTGCTTTCTCACCGCCTCCACGTGCCAATCCATCCACCATTTCACCGAGTTCTACGGCTTCCATAACTGGTGAGTGAGAATAACATTTTTTATTGAAACTCCACTTTTTATCAATTGGTCATTCATTTTCATATTCGGCAGTCGAGTGGTAGAAGGCAATTAATGGAAAAATTATGTGTTGATTATTTTTTTAATATCGGGAAAGTGCAGAATTCAATGCGCAACCCTCATAAAAGCTTCCTTGTAGAAAATTCTCCTTGGCTACAAAAGCTGCCTCATCATAACTTTCTGTAATTGCATTTGTTTGTAGAAAATTTACAAAATAGTGGGAATGGAAATTTTAAGTGCAATACAGGGAGGTACATTGTTAGAAATTTTTCGAAATTTCATGGATTATTTTTCTCGCTCGGATTTCAGCTAATCAGAGCGCAGTATTTGAGGCTGTCAGACAGCTTTATTTCGGAAATTTTTTAAAAATTTCCGACGGAAATTCATTAGTAGCTTTTCAAATGTTTCTCATCTTACAACGCATTTCACGTTTAATATTCTGTGCGACAGATCAACAAAAAAATGGGTTGTAAATGTATGGCTGTGTAAATGTATCCGGATGCTGTTAACTGCACTCTGCTTGGCCGAAATCTGAGTGGAAAAATAATCTGTCAAATACCACTCGAGCTTCAAAATTAATCGGATATTTTCCTCAAGCTTCCCTGGCTAGCAACGAGTGTGTCAAATTTTGCAGAAAAATTTTAAATCTGAAGAATTTGACACAATCGTTCCTGGGCAATGAAGCTATCGGAAAATATCCGATAATTTTGAAGCACTAGTGGTATTACTACAGAAAATATGGTAGTAATTCTCATGAGAGTGACATTGAATCCGATTCAAGGGAAAAATGGTTTTGAAATTTCAAGTTTTACGTAAAATTCAAGGGAATTCATGAGTTTTCAGTGGGACTGAGACAAAAATTTCAAAACTTGACCGAATTTTCAATGAAACATGAATATTTAGAAACAACATGACATGAATTTGCAATTTTTCCCTGAAGTTTTCAGATTTTTCCGAATTTTCAAAGAAAAATTGAACTGAAAAACCAAGTATAATATTTTATTGATTTTCATATCATTTGAATAGAAAATTAATGGAATACTTGATTTTTCAGTGGCAAGATTGCCTGAAATTTCAGTGGAAATTAAACATGACAAAAATTTCCGGGATTTGGCACGGAAAATTCAGACGAACATTTTTAACAATGTAACTGGAGAATTACGTGGAATTGACTTCATCAATATCTAAAGAATGAGTTGATCTGTTAAATTGAAAATTCTTCCGGTTGTAAAAATAATCTTACAATTCATCATGAATCCTTTTCAACCCCATCATATTCTAGATATTCAGAAAACAGCGAAAAACAGTTTCGGTTCGATTTATTTCCTTTTACCACTTGACGAGGGAATGTTGATTGAACAAAGTAAAGAGTAAAAATGGTGAATCTGAATGAAAAACCTCAAGATGGATAGGAAGTGCTGATAGAGTAAAAAATGGTAGTGAATAATTTGTCAATCCATTCGGTCGATTTGGCATTTCGATACCGTTGCATACACAAAACCGGGACCATCGTACTTGGCGGCAGGTGGTCGTCGATTTCCGATTGTTCTTCTCCTCTTTTTTCTTCCTCCACCTCTGGCCCATTAAACATTCTCTGTGTACTGTACAGAGTAGATGGGGTGGGGTTGAGGGCTGGCGTTGTCGGAGGGGCAGGAGAAAGAGGACATTAATTACCCCGACAGTGTAAATCACGTTATCTGGGCAACACCGCTGCCAATGGATGCCAGGAGCTGAACCAGAGCGAGGAGCGACGGGGAATACGCCCGCATACCGAGGGCGCAGCTTTCCCGACCAAGCGGCAACCTTAACCCGCGCCAATATCCTGTCTATCTATACCGCTATATTCTCGGGATATAATTTATGGATGTCTAGGAAAAGTTTGTCTCTGAGGATTTTCCAGGGGTATAAAGAATACTGACTAAGTGCTAGTTGGTTTATGGAGTATTTTTATTTATGCTGAAGTTGTAGATTGAGATTGAAAGGTTGGAATTCAATACACAGAATTGTATGACTTTTTTTGTGAGAATACGTTTTTATCATTAATTCAATCATATTCAAAATAGAAATCTGCCTTCAGGTGATGAGAGAAATTAACAAGAGCAGAAGTCGCTGATTATTATTAACCCCAGATTGGTCACCCTGAGGGGAATCCCGTTGCGCGTCGTTTTTCTTTAATCACAATTGACTGGCTAACCGGAAAAATTCAAAAAAAATTGTCTTTGTCAATTGAAGTGTCTAAAAAATTATAGTAGTGTTTAAAACAACATATTTCCCAAAATTTCTAAAAAAAAAAACAAATTATTTTGGACAAATGAATTATTTTTTGCCATGTTAAATGAAATTGCCCACGACGCGACGTTGCCGGAAATTCGCTAAACGTGCCCGGGTAGTGTAAAGTGAATTCGGCAACGCTAAAGCCTAAAGAATACAGCGGGGAATCCCCGCGAAGGTGACAAAGTCGCAGGGTCGCGCTTGGTGACCAGACTAGGGTTAATAACTCATGATCAGTAGAGTGACCGTTCACGTATTGCACTATTAGAATATAGCTGTTTTATGTTCATCGATAGAGATGTGAGTGACAAAAATGACCGTCAATGACCACTGTCTTGATCGGTAATTACCGCGCCGAGAATCTAACCATATGGTCAGAAAAAAGTGACAATTGACCATAAGCATGAAATGACAGAGTCAATTTTGTTCGTCAATTTCCATCTATATAGAAGACTCTCAATTTTCAAATATAAGTCCAGCGATTTCTATACTGTTAAAAAATTTTAGCTGAAATTTCCAGTTCACTTTTCGGGAATTTTTATCACATTTCAGGTCCACTAAATTTCGAAGGAATTTCATCATTGAAAATTCGGAATTTCGGGGAAAAATCAATGAGAACTGGAAGTTTTGTGTAATTGTTCACTGAAAATTAATAGAATTCCGATAAACATATTCTTGAATTTTCAATTATTTGAAAATTCGAATAAATGGAAGAATTCTCATCTTCATGCTTCTCAAAATTTTGAGACTAGTCGAGACTAGTCGAGAATTATTTTGAAGAGATCATCACAGTCTGGAAAAACATCGAAAGTTTTGAAATCGTCGCAATCTGAAAAGACATTGGATCGGTGCATCTCGTCACAATTCCGGGAGGGTTTATCTTGCCTGGATCTCGAGATTTTCGGTTAAGTTCACGAGACGAGACGAGACAGATATCGAGACAAACATTTGAGAAACAGAAAATACTGAAACTCAAACGTGATGGATTCTTCCAAGTTCATGACGAGCACCGATCCAATGTCTTTCGAAATTACAACGACTCCTAAACTTTCGCTGGTTTTTTAGGCCGTGATGATCTTTCCAAAATAATTCTCGTCTAGTTTCGACGGCATCACTAGTAAAATCTGAAATTTCATTTTTTTTATAACAGTGTATCATCTTTATGACGGACTCATTGATAATAATTAATGAATAAAATAATGGATGATAATAATTAATAAGTAAAATAATAAATAGTAATAATTCAATTCTGTAGCGACGACGGTGGTTGTATGGTTAGAGTGTGGGATTGGCATGCGAGAGACCCAGGTTCGATTCCCGGCCGAGGGGGCCAAAATTTGTGACACTCTAAATCTCACGGTTTCCTTATCGAGCGGAAGTATCGCAAGAGACGACTACCTGGGCAGGTTTTTCCCTCAAATGAGGTTTCTCCTTGTCCTTCGGCGAATGTGGTACAGGGGGATAGGGGATGGGAAGGGAATAAATTGTAAAAACTCGAAAGGGTATACTAGAGAAAAAAAATTAATTCAATTCTGTTAAAAAGTTTTCCGATCGAGCCCTTGAAAAAAACCGAAATAAAAATGACGGCCAATTTGTAATTATACAGACGAATTTCGGTCAATTGGGCTTGCCTGACGCACACGGAGAAAAAAAAAAACAGAATTTTTCAGGCGAAATTCAGGCAAAAATTACCGTGCCGTCTGGTAAAGTGGGTTCAATTGTCTAGCACCAGAAAAATTCCGGTGCTGCATAGTAAAAATTCCGGTAACGCACAATAAAAGCTTGATCCCTGACTGTTTTCTATTACATGATAAATTTCATTCAATAGTTAAAAATGAGTAAACATTGTCATTCAGCATATCATCCTATTAATTTTATTTTAACCTCTCCTCCATATCCTCTCTCCCATATTAAAAGCGGAATGCGCGGCAAACGTATGTGGAACGTTTGACAGGCCAATGTATATCTACAGCGTTATACACCTCATGAAGCGAAAATAAAGGGCACTTATTTTATTTCTTAACCGTTTTATCACAACACTAATTAATATTTCACTGAATTGATATTATGAAAAACATTAACCTGGGGTTTCAGTAAGGAGATATGTGAGAGAGGAGGCTAGAGGAGGCGACGGAATAAATCATCTGGTCACGTTGAGTCGATGTTCGTGGTTGCGGAGGGGGGACGAAGAGTACCGAAATCTTACGAATGCGCGATCGGGTCCTAGGATTCTGGTAGAGCACCGGAAAAATTTGCCAGTCAGTGTCATAATTTTTCTCGTATTTCTCGTAAAAATTCACTGTCGCTTCGATTTTACCGTGCTGCACAAGAATTTTTCCCCACATTTATCCGAAAAATGACTCGTGCAACAGTACTTTTTCCTACTCTTTGCGGTACATTTGGCCTGGAAAGACCATCTGAACCAACTTTACTGTGCGGGCACGGTAATTTTTCTCGTACATTTCTCTCCGTGCACCTTAACTATGACGGTAATTTTGCACACAAAATTCGGTCAAGGTCAGAAAACGGTCAGAAACCGGTCATTTACGTTTGACCTGACTAAAAGAGAAAATGACGGCCATTCCACATCTCTATCATCGCATGCTATGCATGCAGGAAAATGGTTTATTTGAATGAAATAAACTTTATTGCAATTGAGTAAATCGTTAATTTGTTTCTAATAAAGGATT